AGGCCTTTACAGAAGATATTTGCGCAACGACCACAAACCTTTACCCCGCACAACGAGACATTGTTTGAACAAAAATTGTAACTGTCTGCTTGTATTAAAGGTTTTTGTCTAATTACCGTGTAGTTCAGTGAAACCATATGTGGCCAGCATAAAATAAGCGACAAATAAGTCAATATAACAAAGTCATCCCAATAAAGCAAAATGAACGTAAGATTCATATAAAGCTCTCGCTTAAACTGGTCAATAATGATTTGGTCATTCTTAAAAAGGCTAAAACTGCACCAACGTTACAAATATATAAATCAAATCAAATCACTTTTATTGTCACATCATCAGCAGCATGTGTGCTATGATGAGTGAAAAGCTTAGGTGCTCTAGACAGTGCAAATACAATGACAGTGCAAAATCCAACAGCATACTCTCAAAAAAACAGGACAATATAAAATTGGCAGTGTTGACAGCGATATGTACAATGAATAGGTGTACACATAGTTGTAGGCAGTATTGTTTAATGTATAGATTGGTTAATATGCAGTGCATGCTACATATTGATGGTGTGCAGTGAGAGGTATGGAAGAGTCTGTGTGTGGTGTGTTAAGTGTTCATCAGCCTCATAGTCTGAGGGACGAAACTTTCCTTCAGCCAGCTGGTGCGTGACCGGATGCTGCGGAATCATCTGCCTGAGGGTAGCAGAGAGAAAAGTCTTTGGCTTGGGTGGCTGGAGTCGCTGATGATTCTCTTGGCTTTCCTCATGCACTGCCTGGTGTAGATGTCCTGGAGGGAGGGATATTCACCTCATACTTAGCATCCTATGCAGGCCTTTGCGATTGCTGCTGGTGCTGTTTCCATACCAGGTGATAATACAGGCAGACAGGAAGCAACTCTCAGTGCAGGTGTAGAATGAGCGGAGGATGTGAGGGCTTATTCTAAACCTCCTGAGACACCTGAGGAAGAAGAGGCATTGTGCCTTCCTAAGCACTGCGTCTGTGTGAGCAGTCCATGTCAGATCCTCAGCGATGTGTACTCCAAGAAACTTGAAAGTGCTGACTCTCTCCACTGGTGTCCTGTTGATGGTGATGGGGGTGTGTTCTCTATTCTCTTTCCTGAAAACCACCACCAGCTCCTTGGTTTTGCTGATGTTAAGCGAGAGGTGGTTTTTCTCATGCCACTGCGTCAGAGTGTGCACCTCCTCTCTGTAGGCCGTCTCATCATTATCAGTGATTAGGCTCACTACCGTTGTGTCATCAGAAAATTTAACGATGACGTTGGAGCTGTGTTTGGCTGTACAGTCATGTGTGTACAGGGAGTACAGGAGTGGGCTGAGAACACAGCCCTGTGGATCACCAGTGTTGAGGATCAGTGTGGATGAGGTTATGTTGTTCATTCTGACCACCTGGCGTCTGCTTGACGGGAAGTCCAGGATACATTTGCACAGAGAGGTGTGTAGACCCAGAGCCTACTAACTTGGCAGGCACTATGGTTTTGAATGCTGAGCTGTAGTCCACAAACAGCACTCTCGCGTATGTGTTTTTGTTTACCAGGTTAGACAGAGCAGTATTCAATGTGAAAGCAATTGCATCATCGTTGAAGCGGTTATTCCTGTATGCAAATTGCAGAGGGTCAGTGTGAGCAGGCAGTACAGAGCAGATGTGCTTTTTAATCAGCTTCTCAAAGCACTTGCTGAAGATGGGTGTCAAATCAATCGGACGCCAGACATTTAAGCATGTGGTTTTAGCTGATTTCGGTATGGGCAAAATAGTAGTTGTCTTAAAGCATGTGGGAACCACTGACCGAGAGAGCGAGAGGTTGAAGATGTCTGTGAAAACTCCCGCTAGCTTGATTCTGAAAAGATTCTCTGACTGACAGACAGCTTTTGATCAGTGACGTAGCCTACGTGACTAATAGCTTTTATTAGTTAGCCTATTGATTCCTCTTTTTAAAATTATGTTTTTTGTTTTGATATTATTGTCAAATCAATGAGCAAACTCAGAGCAAACTCTCTTCCCGGGGGATGCTGAGCTCGCACAGCTTCCTGAACGTTCTATATCTGTTATAACCGCACTTTGTAAATAAATTGGTCTGGCAGATATTGCGTTTTTTTTTTTTTTTTTTAATTAATTTTTTACTCAGCGTAAAATGTACATTCTTAAATGTTATTGATGGCAGCAATTCACACATAGATTAAGGTACATCTGAACAGCAATTTCCAATAATAAAATGCAAATGTCAAAAAAATGGCGTTTATTGCGTTTTGCAACTGAACTCTATTTTATATATAATATATATATATATATATATATATATATATATATATATATATATATATACATATATATTACTGCTGTCAATCGATTAAAACAATTTACTAATTAATCACATTTTTTAAATTAATCGCGATTAAATTAATGTAAACGCAAGACAAAAACTATTTAAATTCAAAATATAATTGTTTATTAGAATTTTTGTTTAACTTGTAACACAGATTTCTTCATGTAAACAACATCAATATCCTGGTTTTACAGCCACATTTATTACAGAAATTAAAACACAGGCATCTTAATGCCATTTGAATTCAAAACAATCAATGCCAAAAAAGAAAAAATTATTTGGATTCTAAGTGGACTGCAAAAAAATGCCAATACACAGGCATTGCATAATAATAATAATATTAATAATAATAATAAAATATTGAATACAAACAATTGCACTCATTGTAAAGTTGTATTGCTGTGAGTTGAGAACATTAATTATAGAGCAGAAACAATTTTTCTCAGTCCTCCTTTACATTCATCCAGTTGCTAAGACAGTCCAGTCCAGACATCCCAAGTCTCCCGGAAGTTGCGGGAGTATCCCGAAATGCACTGAGACTCCCGGATGCCCGCAAATGAATGATAATCTCCCGGAAATCGCACGTCTCCCATGCGGTCCTTAAATATGTTGCACACCCCTCTCCATCCCACCTAGCTCTTCAGGTACGTGGCGCACAACTCACCCCCACCGCTCTTCAGGTATGTCTCGCACGCACACGCCCCTACTCAGATACGTCGCTTACTCAACCCCTGAAACGAAACAGACACAGACAGACAGACACACACAACGTGCGGGAGCCACTCTGTATATCCTGGCTCTGTATATTCTGGTGATGCAACATTAATTGTTTTATACTGAATGCCTTCAAAAAGTGCTTCCTTTGTCTTATTCATATTTCTTTGCATGTTGAACACATCCACCACAACAGGAAGTAAAAAAAAAATATTGCAACTGCGTTAATTGCATAAATTTTTTTTGACGTGTTAAATATTTTCAATTAATCGCATGCGTTAACCCACTAATTTTGAAAGCACTAATATATATATATATATATATATATATATATATATATATATACATATATATATACATATATATATACACACACACACACAAACACGCACACACTAGAGCTGCACAATTAATCGTAAAAAGATTGCAATCTAGATTCGACCTTTTAATCCAGCATTGCTATGATTCTGTGAATCATATTTTCAAGTTCAGGAGAGAAGAAAAAGTGGCCGAACAAGTCTTCACATAGTTTTACATTTGTTGTTTAGCAAAGTAGACACCTCCGAATGGTGTTGAAAGAGTCACATGCTGTATTTATAAGATATAATTCACCCCAAAAATTTCATTTTTGTCTTCATGTAATAATGTATTTGTGACCGCAAAATCACACGTGACGTGAGCTGACCGTCAGCTGTTACCACAGAGTGGGCGGGTGTGCACACTGAATGAAGTCTACTTTAGTGAACAGAACCTGCATAAGCTGTGAATAACAGGTAGTAAAGTTTTAAATAACATTCAGTTTGTAGCAAAGAGGGATCGATTGGGAGCCGCGCGGGAAGTGAACCACTCTTAGCTGTAAATATTAAACCGAAAGAGCACACAGTGTTGCCAGATGTAGCTAACTGATTCCAGCGCTAAAAGTATCCAAAACCGAACGAAATGCAAAAATATCCACCCAGACTTCTGTATTAACGAAAATAACGTCAGTGGCGGATTTTAAGCAGAAAATGACAGGTTGTAAGCATATGTCTCAAACAATAATTCAACATCAGAATTATCATCAGCATTAATGACCAGGACAAATCTCAAGTCTGTTTAATCCACCATTCCAAGTCTATACAAAATTTAGTATTTAAACCAACAGTACAGCTACACAAAGCCTATTGCTGTTTTACCACATGTTTGAGAATAACACACTTATATTAACCTTTATTTTACATCTACAGAATCTTAAGTAATTCGTGATCTTTATGTAAGGCAAAAAAATCGCGATTCTCATTTTAGCCAGATTCGTGCAGCTCATTTTTTCTATATATATTTCATAAATTATGCAAAACACAGCAAGAACATTTTCACAGTATGTTTGATAATATTTTTTCTTCTGGAGAAAGTCTTATTTGATTTTAATTTTTTTAATAAACCATTTTAAAGACAAAACTATTAGCCCCTTTAAGCAATATATTTTTGATAGTCTAAAGAACAAACCATCTTTATACAATAACTTGTCTAATTTACTGTCATCATGGCTAACATAAAATAAATCAGTTATTAGAGATTAGTTATTAAAACTATAATGTTTAGAAATGTGCCGGAAAAATCTTATCTCTATTGAACAGAAAAAATAAACTTGTTTTTTTTTTTTACTTGTTCAGACTACTTAATTAAAATGTGCTGAAATAACACAATTCTTGAGATTTCATTGGAACAACTTAATGTTCAATCCACATAAATTTGTTAAAAGTTTTAAGTTAACTTAATTTGTGTTGTGACACCATGAAAGAATTGTGTGGGACCCTGCAGTTTTTACAGTGTGTGCAATGTGCACAAATATGGTTATCAGTTCATAATAAGTTGAAGCACATTGTTAAATTTTGCTGTATTTGGCTTAACTGTTCCTGGGTGGCTCGCCAATGTATAGTTGACTCTAATGCATAAAATAAGTAAGCTGACCAAAGTTCTTACGTGGAGAAAACTTTATTGAAGACAATTAATAGTGCAGTTCCTCAGAAGTGACGTTAACTCGTCCGTCTTCAGGTAACTTAACCCAAAGTACCACCCCCACCTGTAAGCAGGGCGAGAGGGGAGTGTAAGCTCAGGTAGATCTCGATGAACTCCGTAGACTTGTTTCTATTCTAATGACAGATATAGGGTTGGCTTAAGGGAGATATAAGGCTTACTAAGAGCTCGACTATGGTGCCAATGTAATGCTCTGTTTACTTAGGTTGTGTGTTTTTGGACTGTGGGAGGAAACTAGGGAACCCAGGGGAAACCCACACGAGCACGGGGAGAATGAGCAAACTGCACAAAAATGTCAACTGGTTAGTAGCGACTTTAACCTGTGACATTCTTACTGTGAGGCAACTGTTCTAACCACTGGGCTGCGGTGTTGCCTAATCTAGAAAGAAGGGGGAGTAAAGGTGGGAGTGGGATTCTTCAAGATGAAGATAACTAAGGTAAGAAACTCTATTTATAGTGAGTCAGGAATCATCTGATTGGTGAATCATGTTTTATCTAATGTGCGACCAGCCGTGGACAATCATAAGCATGTGATCCTCTCAAAGGTAGTTTATAAATAAACTTAACGTGAATAAACAGCCAAACTCAGTGAAAAAGCTGTCGTTTTGAATATACCCAAATTTGTGTGGACAAGACCTCAATGTTGAGGACTCTGCTCTCTATTGTGAAGTTTTAGGTGAGCGCTGAGGCTTCTTTTACACTTAAAGCCCTTTCCACATTCACTGCATTTAAAATGATCCTCTCTTGAGTGAATCTTCATGTGTTTCTTAATGGTGTCTTTGCGGGTGAGACTCTTTCCACACTGATCACATGTGAACACTATGGTTCCAGTGTGACCATTCATGTGGTTCTTGAGGCTAGCTTTGGTTGAGAAGCTCTTTCCACATTGATCACATGTAAACGGCTTCTCTCCAGTGTGAATCCTCATGTGGATGTAAAGGTCTTGTTTTTTACCTAAACTCTTTCCACACTGTTCGCAGGTGTAAGGTTTCTCACTAGTGTGAACTCTCATGTGAGCAATCAGGTTCGGCTTTTTACTGAAACTCTTTCCACACTGTTTACAGCTGAAAGGCTTCTCCCCAGTATGAGTTCTCATGTGTGCTGCAAGGTTTCCAGCATGATAAAAGCTTTTTCCACACTGTTGGCATGGGAACTTCCTCTCTCCAGTGTGAATTCTCATGTGGGTGTTTAAGCTTTGTTTTTGACTAAAACTCTTTCCACACTGTTCGCAGGTGTAAGGTTTCTCCCCTGTGTGAACTCTCATGTGATCATCAAGGTTTGGCTTTTGACAGAAACTCTTTCCACACTGTTTACAGCTGAAAGGCTTCTCCCCATTGTGAATTCTCATGTGAATATCAAGGTTTGGCTTTTGACTGAAACTCTTTCCACACTGCTTACAGCTGAAAGGCTTCTCCCCAGTGTGAATTCTCATGTGTGCTGCAAGGTTTCCAGCATGATAAAAGCTTTTTCCACACTCTTGGCATGGAAACTTCTTCTTTCCAGTGTGAATTCTCATGTGGGCTTTAAAGCCTTGTATTTGACTAAAACTCTTTCCACACTGTTCGCAGGTGTAAGGTTTCTCCCCTGTGTGAACTCTCATGTGAACATCAAGCTTTGACTTCTGACTGAAACTCTTTCTACACTGTTTACAGCTAAAATTACACCCAGATTTTGATTTCCGAAGTCTTTCGTGTGATGAAGTCTTTTTAGTCAGTGGGGGTTTTTCATCAGTCATTATTTCTTTGGGTTTCTCAAACTGCTGTTTCTCATCTATTTCATTCTGTCTATGAGTCTCTTCTTTCAGCACCATCAGATCTAAAAAAAAAAAAGTTAACTTTAGTATGAAGGCTCAAAGCGATAAGCAAGAAATGGATGTTTCACCCACAAATGAAAATGGCCTTACCATTTACTCTCCGTCATGTAGTTTTAGACATTTCCTTTATTGTGGAACACAGTAAGCCAGTAGCGTTTTTTTTTTTCTTTTTTTAATATCTTCTTTTGTGTTTAACAGGATCAAGAAACTCATAAAGGTTTAAAACCACACGAGGAAGAGTAAATGGTGAGGCTATTTTCATTTCTGCACAACTATCCCTTTAAAAGGTTCCTACAATTACAAATTTTTTACATGATGCAAAATAAGTCTTTGGTGTTCCCAGAATGTGTCTGAGGTTTCAGCTCAAAATCAGATCATATACCTTGTAGAATATTTAATTTTGGGGGTCAAAGGCAAACCAAGCTCTTTTTGTGCCTGTGACTTTAAATGGAAATAACCAAATGCACTCGCTCTAGATTACTTGTGTTGTTTCCTCGATTGAGACAAATCCTTCATGTCCATAGCAAGTATGCATAATTCACGCTTATATTTGCAAGTTTGCATTATTATATAAAACTTATGCAAATTCTTAATGCCACATTTGCTTTAAACAGGAGTGATGAGGAGATGGCAAGATGACATACTTTGCTACTTGTTTTCATTTATTTGTACTTTTGTTTTTGTTTTCTTGTCTTTGTGTATGCCCCGAGGCTTAGCTGAAGACCTACTTGGTCTACCCGACAAGATGCAGAAATGCCATCTAAAAAGGTTACTTGTGGTTTGTCCAATCAGGGACAGTGACGACGTAAATATACAAAATAATAATGATAACCCAGGGATTAAAAATGTGAACTCTCTGTTAATGAACACCCAGGATTATTTTTTAACCCCAGGTATAGCATGAGCAGTGTGGAAGGTGACTACAGATAACCCAGAATTTATCCAGGGTTAGAATGACCCAGGGTTAACAATTTGAAGTGTGAAAAGCCCTAAGAATATTCAGCATCAGCTCTCAGGATAAACAGAGTATAATGACAAACAGCGACAATTGTCAATCATGTCATGATGACCTGGGGCCTGTTTCAGTAAGGAGGTTCAACCAACTCAGAGTTTAATCTTGATCTCTGAGTTCATTTAATGAGAGATTAAATACTCAAGAGTTTTCAATTTCAGAAAAATATTTGAGCTACAAAAGTCTTTCAGTCAAGAGCAGTGAGTGATTTTCTCCTTTTGTTGTTTGATTAATGCTAAAAACAGTCGGCAGCAGGAATATTGCGCACTGTCACTTTAAGAATAGTGCGGCTCTGATATGGTTTCTCTTTCACATGTCTTTTGATTCTCAACTTGTTTGTTTATTACACAAATAAGGGTTAATATGAATATTCACTAAACACAGCACTCTGACCCAAATTTGCATACATTTGACCATTAAAGCGCTCAGATTAAGATGGCGTTAGGTGTGTGTTCTATATGATGGAATAATCGTTTATCTCGATTAATGGTTTTTTGATTAAGTGGTAGAGGTTGATATGACATTTAGAATGTAAGCAGGACTAAAAAATCTTTTTAGAACTAGTAATAATCCCATTAATCTAGTTACAGTACATGTCCGTCAAAGGTTAGTGAATTTAAGCTAATTATTCATTAAGAAAGGACAAGCCATTCTGCTATGTGACTTTGTTCTTTGTGTAACTGAAATGTAGGCAATAGCTATGATTCCATCCAAAAATGCGAATTAAATTTATGCGCAAAACTGGGATGTCACATAAAAGATGTGCGAATAAAGCTGCGTTTCCATCCAATGAATCAAAGAGAACAAAATCGTCACTTCCTGATTAACAGGCCCCAAATATGAACTGTAAAAACAGAATTTCGTGCAGTAGAAGAAGCTACATGAATCTTTTATTTAAATGACTTTCAGCTCAGAGGACAATGCTGGCACACAATGAACACGTGTTGGCGTTTGAAGCAATGAGATGCAGAGAACAGATGCTCTGGAGGTCATTAATAATATAATAACATTAATATTGAAATGGTTCATGCGTTTTAGAATGAACAAAACAACATTTCAGATGTTTATAATGTTCTCAGCCTGCTGGTTTGTGCATTCACACACATTTTCATCATCATATGATCTCTTATAACAAACCTTTTTAAACACACAAACAGGAATTTGTTTAGTAAAAGTGCTACTCAGTTATGCGCATGTTTTTTTATGCTTATTTTTCAAAAGTTATGTGCACCATGACATTAACATCAACCAATTTTTTTTATCCTCATAGCCTACCCAAAATGCATATAAAAATAGGTGGCTGGAAATGTACGGCTAAGCGAGAAATACCACTTTATCTTTTAAAAAGGGGAGGAGACAGACAGAAAACTCTCTTTCAGAGACAGGCTTGACTTACCCTGCTTTCTCGAATTTGACAAACCTGCAATTTTGAAACGGAAAACCTAGAGTTTCTCTCATTTCAGGGTTAAAATACTTTACACTTATCCTTCTTTCTGGAACAGGGCCCCAATCTCATATGCTATTGTTTTGCAACTTCAGTTGCCTATTGGAGAAATGACCAGGAATAATAAACGTCAGAAAATGGTCACACTACTTGCTCTGCAAACAAGTGTGTTCATGTCTGTACAAAGAAAACTAAAATAAGAAAATATGACGTTGCAACATCAAGCAGCTATAGGCATGGGCCAGTATAAGATTCGGCTTCATGGTACTTTGATTACTGCTCTAAAATATATTCTTTTAAATGTCTGGGTAAAAAAAAAAAACATTTTTTCCTCTTTGAACACAAAACATTTTCTTTTGAGAAACTTATAAAATATTTTACAGCAGTAAACATGTCAGGCTAAATCATTCAATTGAATCCTTGACTTCTGCTGTCTTCATTTGTTTCATAAACACAGATTTCTTTACAATTTGAAACAGCATCTTTGGATATCTTTTCTGCTGGAGAAACTGTTGCCCTGAAAAACTTAAAACAAAATGTAAAAAAAAAAAAAAACCTTACATATACCGATTAATGGTACAGCAGAAAATATTGGCAGTTTTAAAACCTTGACTTTGTTCAAACTGCATTATACTTTGAAAATGGCTATCGTCCCATGCCTCAGCAGCACAACACTGTTTTTAGGATCTAAAAATGTATTCTTTAAAAAAAGTCTCAAGCAAAAAGATTCCAATGGCGCCGCCTGCTGGTAAATGAAGAACATGGTTAATATTCTGATGAACTTTACACTCAAATGTTTGCATATCATCAGCATGCTGTAATCCATTTCTTAAACAAAAAAAAAGTCATTTTTAGACTAGTTTGTTGTAATTTTATACATTTAATGATACAATAATAAATTAATAATTATGTTAAAATATTTTAGATATTTCTTAGCAAAAAATCTTAAATATTGCGTAAAAACAAGAGAGCTCAACTAGGATCCACACACTTTTTTCCAAAATAAACTTTCTTTAAAATATAAAACAAATGAACACAAGTTTTAAAAACTATAATAATATAAATCTATGCACAACAATCTGTGCAGGTCGATGTCCTCAGCAGTAAATACATGGAACACGTTTAAACAAATGAAGCATGAAAATAATTAAACTATTATGATAAATAGAGTTAAAATGATCTTTTTGAATGAAAAGTTTAAAGATTTATTTAGATGGATTATTGGTGATTGTATGGGTTTTGACCAGATTGGGTAACAAAACATGAACAAAGGAAAATGAAGACTTGTTTAAAAAGATTTAAGACCTACAACACAATATTTCAGTAAATTTAAGACTTTTTAAGGCCTAAAATTTTAGGTTTTCGAATTTAGGACATTTTAAGACCCTGCGGGTATTAAATAGATCATATTTGTGAGAACTAGTAACAACTACTAAAAACAAGTTTAAACCCATAAAGAAATTGATGAAAAAAGGGAATTGTGATCAACGTGACATATGCAAATGGAAAGTACTAAGCCAACACTATCACCGTAATAGCAGATATCTTCTATGAGAATATTGTAGGTCAAATATCATCAGCTCAGTTAAACTTTTTACATTTATTGTTTTTATTTACTTTATATAGCGCCAGTGCTCAAGGACGCTTTACAAATAGTAGGAGAATAAGAAAAGCAATAAACTTAAGAAGGTAGATAAAATAGGAGACTAATAATACATAAAATAATGACAAAAGACATGAAAACAAGTGATGAAAGAAACTCATTCCTGTCTTTTCAATGAGTGCTTATGTGCATTTAGGAGAACTAGGCAGCACACTCAGGGCTGCTAGATGGATTTTGAGAATGAAAACTAACCTGTTTGTTCCTGCAGATCTTCCTGTTTGACTGTGAATGTCTCTTCAATCTTCACATCTTCACTCTCCTCTTTAATAAACACCATCTTTATAACAGTGTGGAGATCAGTCGCTTCAGCAGGAGTTTTTTTCTGTGTTTGGACACTTTATCCTGTTTAAAATGAACAAAACAATAAAATGTCCTGTTTAAAATAAATAAAACAATGAACAGAAACAAAAGAACTTCTCTTCAACACTTGCTTCAACAGTTTCTTTAGATAAGAGTGATTAACAAAAAGATATTAGTTAAGTTTGAGCAAAAAACAATAGCCACAAAAGAGCAGATTAAGTACTCCATTTCTTATATATATATAGTGATGTTTACTTCGAATAGAATGACATTATGCTATTTAATAAATTAAACCTTCATTAAAACACTCATTACACACTTTACTGTTGCTTTAATCAAACTTTAACAAATGTTAATTATTATTTTTTTATTTTTTTATTTTATTGACTGTTTACAGCAACGTTGTAGCACTCTTTTGCACAAGACAAGAATTTCCTCTCCGGGACAAATAAAGTTTATCCTATCTTATTCAAACAATAGACCTTACTGTGAGTAAAATAATACTTCGTTGTATAAAGGGTTAAAATAATATTGTCAACAGCAGGTACATCTAGCATTAAACGAACAACCTGAAATTTTAATAATTT